TGCTTTAGGGTTTTTCTTTTCCTTATGAATGGTTGTTTAGTGACCAAAGGTACGATGGACTTCCCTGGAGCCATTTATGACCCAGATTCAAAGTTCTGATGGCTGTATCTCAGTCTTGTGACTATATAAGTAATCAGCCTGCATTCATAGCCATTTGTAACATTCCATGTTTTTCCCCCAAAATTGGCATTGAAGTCGTTTTCAGCAAAACTGGCCTACCATTGGTTTGCTGCAAAAACGGTCATAAAATCATGATTCATAATCATAATCATGATTATGTGGGTGACCCGGTTTATAACTGTCATGACTTATGCAGTGGTGGGATTCAAATAATTTAACAACCGGTTCTCTGTCCTAATGACCAGCTGCGTGGGCGTGGCCAGGGGGTGTGATAAGCAGCACTTGGCCTCCTGCACTCTCCTGGGAGCAAAAATGTGGTGTGGGGGGAGACCCCCCCGCCCCATTTTGGGCCTAGTAGGCCTCCCTGCAGCCTCCTGCATGGGGCCGTGTTTGCCTCCCGCACCCAGTTTTGGGCCTAAGAGGCCTCCCTGCACTTACCAAAATGGGGCACGTGGGGACTCCTGGAGGGGGCAGGGTGGGGCAAACCAGAAATTTAACTACCGGTTCACGCAAACTGGCCCAAACCAGCTGAATCCCACCACTGGACTTATGGCTGTGATGGCCAGGCTCCATTATGATCATAACCTGGGAATTTCTTATCAGAAATAGATCTGCTGATGAGGCTTTTTAAAATTAAGCAAAGGCTTTGTGAATTTCAGTTGCAAATCATGTAAATATCCCAGAAAAATTGCAGTCACCAATACCTAATTATAAACTAGCAAGCTAACAGGATTATCATTAGTCAGTTAAAAAGACCAGAATGCAAATTTAATATACCCCAAGTGCATATGAATTAGTATTAGCCAATACAACACTCACCATTATATTTTTTTCTGTTATTAGATTGTATTTTTCAGAGTTTTTATTTTACCAGGGGCCTTGTATGGTGAGCTGCAACAGGATCAAAAGATTTCATTTTATAAGTTTGGCAATCACCTTGTGGCACCAGGACAATATAAAGCTTTAGAAATCAAATCACTGGCCAAAGAATTGTAAGTACTGACTTAGGAAGGTAAGTAGAGCTCAAGAGATTGAGGCCCTAAGGCTTTCTGAAACTTCGCAGCATCACAGGGCTCCTTAATTTAAAACCATGTAATCTGGGAATACATTGAGAATTGATAAGGAAACTGGCATGATTATCTTAAAGCTGCACTGGATGTGGGAATCACCCTGGCATTATTAGGACTTTTTAGCACCTGAGTATAGCATTTGAGTACAAAATTATGAAAATAATTTTCATAATATCTCCTGCTCTATTTCTGTTCCACTGTCTCATTCTTTTTTCTAATTTCATGGGAAGGGACAGACTTCGTGGGTTCCATGGTTTGAAAAAACAGGGCGAGAAATACTGTTTCTTGTAAGTAACCTAATTGCCAATACCGAAAAAAATAACCAAAAGTAGTTCAAAAGTTTATACTTTTTTAAGTTTAAGCAAAAGGCGTTGTAACTTCAAGAAACAAAGCAAAAAATTCAGCAGCTTTAATACAAAGTGTATATCCACATGCTACCTGCTTATCCTGCCCTACTAAGGTTCCCTGGTGAATTTATTTCCCTTTCTTAAAAGCTGAGGAAGTATTTTTGTTCTGAGAAGTCACTGCCAACTTGTAAACCAGGCTTTACTCGTAAAGAGGACCTTGCCAGTTAGTAGCTCAAACCCTCCGGATGGAAAACAGGACAGACTGGCTCTGTGCATTCCTAGAGAAAATCAGAAAAATAATCTCCCCTTAAGAAAAGAATCAATTTTTCTGATTTTTTCTTTCAGCCTCTGAATCAGAGATTTGTGTACAAATATTTATTCAATGTTCTTGCTGAAAGTTGAAAGCCACATCTTGTCCACATATTTATTATTTCACCTATTTCTTTAGTTGCGATGAGTAAAAGATGATCAAAAACAGAACAGCAAGGATTTTTGATTACAGAAGAACAGCAACAAATGAATTCTTGGCAGCTTTATCCCAAACCGTATTTTCTATTGGGGGGGGGAGATATGTGACATGTCCCAATTACATCAACCCACCCCACCTGGTCAAGCAGGGAAGGTATGCTACATGTCCCGTCAAAAGAGTTTTGACTGGTGTATTCTAGGAGGCCCTTCTCAGCTGCTGTCCCCAACCTATAGAACAGTGTTTCTCAACCTTTGTAGCTTGAAGATGGGTGGACTTCAACTCCCAGAATCCCCCAGGCAGCAGCGCTGGCTGGGGGATTCTGGGAGTTGAAGTCCACCCATCTTCAAGCTTCCAAGGTTGAGAAACACTGCTATAGAACATCTTATCCTCAGAGATGAGGTGCCTCCCCACTCTTCTGGTTTCCCAAGAGTGTTAAGATCTAGCTTTGTCAATTAGCATGGAGGGACATATCTCAATGGTGCAGCCCTGGCAATGGTGGCTTGAGGACACTCCTGCTGTGTTGTTAACCTTCTAGCCTTTTGAATGTTATAGCAATAGCAATAGCACTTAAGACTTATATACCGCTTTACAATGCTTTACAGCCCTCTCTAAGCGGTTCACAGAGTCAGCATATTGCCCCCAACAATGGAAGGCTGAGTCAACCGTGAGCCTGGTGAGATTCGATCTGCCAAACTGCTGGCAGCCAGTGATCAGCAGAAGTAGCTTGCAGTACTGCACTCTAATCACTGTGCCACTGTGGCTTTTATACACTGATTTTTATTTTTACTAGGAATTTTAACTTGTTTTTAATTTTTTTTAATTTGTTTTTATTCATGTATATATAAATATATAGTTTCTTATGCTGGGTAAATCACCCAGAATTATTTAGGTAAGATTGGTGGTATAGAAATTTAATAAATAAATACATAAATTTTATGAATATTCAGGTTGTCAAGAAATTATTAATAAATCCTTTCCTAATATGAAGCACCGAAATGTCAATCTCTTTGATACTTGCTTGCTATCAGCTGCCATAATAACGGGGGGGGGGGGGGGGGATTAGCATTTGGGTGGGGAAGTGTGCTGGAGTGAAGACGGCCTCTGTGAACAAAAAGGAAGGGATGCGCTCATGATCTACTGCGCAGCTGGAGTTGTTTATATCCAGTCAAGGTAAACCGTCCCAGAATACCAGATAGACGAAAACACCCTGAAGTTGTGGCCCACATGACACCATATGGGATGGGGATTGGACATTCAGCCTGGGTCCCTCGGGGGAGGGATTTAGGGAAACTTTCAATATGTAACTTTTGTGCCTTTTGGCTCAGATCTTGCTTTTCTTTAGTTGCTATCATTTCAAACTCAGTAAAAGTACCTCTTTTCTACAAATATGGGATGTCCTTTCTTGGATTCTGAACAGAGGCATGCCTGACAGCAATGGAATTTTTTTTCAAAGAGAAAATTGTGACTGACAGTTTATTCATACATAGTTCAGCAGCAGTTCTTGATGGTCATATGGGGCATTTATGCAAATACTTTATTCATTTGTGAAATAGTGAATGAGAAAAACTTTTCCCATCCTTTTGCCCCAACTTTCAAATCAACCCAGTTGCCCACAATTGTTTTGATATGTCTAAAACAAAACATTTTACTGGGCTTCATGCTCACTTAGCTCACTTGTTAACTTTCTGTAGAAAGTGGCAACAGTGGCCTCCTGGTGGTCAGTGCAACTTTCTACATAAATGGGATATAATCTTCTCCTCCCACCCCCAAATCACATTCTACCAGGAAAAAAAATTATAAACTCAAACACACATTTATTTATATTGCACCATTTTGTTTCTACCCTTTTAGGGTTGTTGGTGGTTTTTTGTTTTGGTAAAAACATAAAACTTGGAAGTCATATATTTATTCTACTTCACAAAATAGGCAATGCAGCCTAGAAAAGGATAAAAACACATAAAACTGGATAATGAACTGGGTAGTGCATTAGTCTCCAATATCCTGACCACTCTTTTGTCCCATATTAATATTTGAACTTTTCACTATATACTCTTTGTTCTCTGGCACAAGTAGGATTTTTTTCTCTTTAGAAATAAAAGAAATGAAAAAAAAAGAAGCAAATATTTGCGCTTGCTGGGAGAGGATCACCACTTCTTTATCCACTGTGCCAGATTATTGTCCTTTAATCATTATGTGGCAGCCAAAAATTCAATAAGCACAAGTACTCCTAGTACCTTCCTGATAGTGTTGAACTACAATTCCCAGCAGCACCATCCAATGAGAAAGGATGCTGGAAACAGAGTCTCAAAAAGGCCACTATTTTAAGACATCAGTTTTGGGAAAAATCTTCCTATTGAATTTCTGTCAGCCAGAAATTAAAAGGCACAGAAGCACCTTAGAGGCTACAATGTAGTATCAGAATTATTACTCTCTTCCTAGACCATGATTTTAGCAAAATATTATTCTCCCCGTCTCAACTTCTCAACATCAACCACAGCTACACCAGAATTCTTAAATCTCTCATATTCTTTAAAACAGTTTCACAAGGAAACCTGAGATAGAAGGCTGGTCTTTCTGCATAGCTCTTCCAAATTAAAGTTACCCCATTTTAACTTAAGTTCTTAAGTATCTCCTCATTCTCCCAACTGGTTCTTCAAACGACTCTCCCTGACTTCTTCAATTTTCCAGAACAGCCTTTTCCAAAATCAAATGTGAAATGTAAGGCATGGCCAACAAATTGTCTCATCCAAGGAACTCTTGGATATATTAGCAGAATGGCTTTTATAGGAGAATCCTGAAAACACAACATGCTGGGTCTACTAAAACCCACATTCTACTGTTGCATTTATATCATAGGCTGGGGATGAAAATAAGAGATGGGCATCCCATCAAGCCCTGCGCATAAACTAACTCCCAATTTTGATCTACTTGTCTACAAGGAAGATCCTATATAGGCCTAAGTTGAAATTAGCTATGTGGGGTGACCCTTCACCATTAGATGCCATATCCTTTATTCCATATTATCCCAGAAGAAGCCAAGCCTTTAAAAAGCAAGCAGAAATAGAAGGAAGTCAGGATCATTTCTTAGAGAAGGTAAGATGGATTCTAACATCGGCACCCAGAGTGGCAGTATAAACAGGAATGGAGTGCTCCCTTCTTCCCCCCATCACATGCAGCAGGTGGTGCAAGGGAGTGCAGCAGGGAGAAAAAAGATCTTTAGACCAGGCAATTTCTTATGGGAGGCCTGGCATCACCTCACAGTGTTCAGCCAAGGCCTGGCTTCGCCTGCCTCTTGGGGCACAACCAACAGCAACTCACAAGGGCCCTGGGAAAGCACCTCCTGGAGAAATACCCTGTGGGGACAAAAAGAACATAATATCAGGGATCCAGCAGGGTCTCCTGTGAGTGAGCCTCTAACCATCATTCTCACTTTCCCAGCCAGTGGTGAAATCCAATTTTTTTTACTACCAGTTCTGTGGGCGTGGCTTGGATGTGGTGTGGCTTGGTGGGTGTGGCAGGGGAAAGATACTGCAAAATCCCCATTCCCTCCCCACTCCTGGGGGAAGGATATTGCAAAATCTCCATTCTCACCCCACTCTGGGGCCAGCCAGAGATGGCATTTGCCAGTTCTCCAAACTACTCAAAATTTCCGCTACCGGTTCTGCAGAACCTGCTGGATTTCACCCGATTCCAGCACTATTCTCCAAGGACTTTAACTTTCTCCAAGCTTCATCCTAAAAATGCATTGTGGAATGCTGTTCAAAAGTCAGCAGAGATGTAGCTACTTAGAACAGTCAGTCAGTTTTTCTCCTTTTAGCAACTTCAACTTTTATATTCAGTTGGATTTTCATTATATGGTATTTGGTATTGCTTATGTATGACATTTTATACTTTAGATAAATCACTTTGAATTTATAATATGGAAGTAAAACAAAAAAAAAGAAGGTAATTACATCATTGCAACTACATCTTGACTATTGGTACCTGAGGTCAGCTTCACCACCAATTGGTGCTGGTGCCTTCAGTTTGGAGTCAAGATTATAATAGATGCCATCAAGCTGACGCACAGCAATCCAGTGGCGACGCCTTACAGGAAGAGACAGGAAACCCAGGCATACATTGGAAGGGACGTTCACGATGAATCCAACCAGCCCTGCCAGGGACAACTGCTCGAGAGGTCTATGAGACAAAGGGAGAAAGGAGCTTGGCAGAGCAAGTAGATTAATCTGGCAAGATGATGAAAAAACAATTCTGAAATGGCCAGGAGAACAGGATGATCTCACATCATAGTTAAGCAGCTCCCAGCTTAGTCAATCTATCAGTGAGGAAGTGCCAAAGACAGCCACAGAGAAAAGATTAGCAATCATGCCTCAAAATGCTACAGCACAATGTCATTTTTAAATTATAAGCCACCTTAAGCAATAAGGCATGAAGGTGAGGGGGGAATCAGTAAATATAGTTAGGAAGAGAAGGTGAAGGAGAACACAGAAGTAGAAAATGACAGAAGCTTGTTCTTAAAAAAAAAATAGAATGGCCAAATTTAAAGTTGGCTGGTTTTTGCCTGTTCAGAAAAAGTAGCTAGAAAAAGTAAAGGGATAGGAGCTCCTTACCTTCGTTTATCCCACCAAATGGCTTCAAATCCCACACTCTGAAGAGCTGCCATGATGACATTGACATCATAGTTCCCTGTCCCCAGAAAACTACGGTGTGGATTCCACCTAGCATCAGGAGCCAGCCTGTGGGAAAAAAGAGGACAGACATCACCAGAGAAGGTTTAGAAAAACAGGAAGGGCCTACCCTAAGTATCAGGGGCACATTTGGAATACTTAAGAGTACAATAGGGGCACTCTCACAAATGGTTTCCACAGTAAGCATGGCTGATCCAATTGCTAGAAAGTTATCTAGGGAGTATCTTTCTTTATACCCCATGGAGGGTACCAGTATGCTCCTTATTGCATTCCTTAAATTATTTCAGCTTTTTTGTTTTCTGAAGAGACAGGCTCTTTCTAAAAAAAAAAAAAAAAAAAAGTACTGAATTGCAATGACCTGTCGTCTTTATTTTCTCAGATGCATACATGAGACTCCAAGAGCCATTTTGGAAATACAGTTGATGCTGGAGCTGGTACATCACAGATATTACTTGGAATAGTAGGAAATGTCTCTGAGTTGCCATGAACACACTGGAGACCCCAAAAATAAGACAGAGGAAAGGCCACTATGCCTCACTTCCATCGTTCTTGCCTGCCTGAGCCATAAATCAGCCTGTAGCCTCCTTGAAGGAAAGACTTTTTTTCCCTGATAGTTATAATGTGTCATGCCCATTGGCAGAATTGTGCTATTATTTTTCTTATCTCCAGCTTGTCCAAAATAAGATGTGTGGGTTTTTAAAGTGTGCATTTCATGTATTAACTTTTTGTTTATTTCAAGCTGGCAAAATCTTATACTCTAGGGAGCTACTCCTGGAAATATATTGAGAATAAAGGATGTACACTTCTTTATATACAGCTGGTGCCTTGGCTTTTCCAGAGACTTATGATACTCTAGGGAAGCCTCAGAGACTCCTACTTGCCCCAGAATAAGATTGTATAAATGAACAATAAATCAACCGACCCAGACTGCAGCAGATTCAGTATTTAAGAGGCCTACTTGTAGCTTACACCTGCTTCCACTGAAATATTGCTGAATCTAAGATATTATCTTAATTGTACTAAACAATGTGTCATAATTACCAATAGTTTTAGATGAATACATAAAAGAATTCCCAGCCACTCATGCTGGAATAGTCTCTTTTATTTATCCAGGGTAAAATCTTCCTTCTCCATCAGACCTGCTTTGCCCTGAGCACAATTAGTCAGCTTCCAGAGAAACAAAAGAAGGCGGCGTCCCTTTCAGGCGCTTGCAAATGCAAACAAAAGCAAAAAGAGATGGAGCCTTTTTTAGTATTTCTAAATAGCTTTTTCTTTCTTTCATTTTTTTAAAAAAGAGAAGCCACTTTATATTACTGAAGGAGATTTGACAAGCTCAATATCCATCCGCTACTATCAGGGAGACCTGTAGAGTTTGCATTAAATAAGCAAGGAAGCCTGGAAGGGCATAAGGAGATTTGGCTCCAGTACTTTATGGGGGTTCTCTAAGATAAAGCTTATGTATAATTCACTTCAAGCACAATTCCACTTGGAATTGGAACTTGGAGTTTATAGCCCTCATGATTCTCAAATGGAAAAAGGACATGAAACAGTTTCACTCCACTTCTCTCGTCAATCAGTGTTCCACATACACTAAAACCAACAAATCACCATCCTTCTTCCTAAGGAAAAGATGGAATTCTAAGACTGAATATAGACAAAATATTTAAATAAAATAAAATCAATATTTCAAACTCCATCCTTCTCCACTTTCCTAAAAGAGTTTTGGGGTATACAGAAGCTGAAGCAACTTTAAACACTTCTCCTCAGTGAACAGAGCTCCAATCATATTTCTGAATAAATTTTCAAATAGTAGACTTACATCATAAAAACAAATGATGTATATACCAACTCATTGGTATAAATGTTACATAATTGATTTGACACTGAAGGTTTAAAACCTTGGGATATTTTCCCCCTCTTCATTTTGACTCACTTCTTTTAGTTCCTACCTGGAACCATAAACAGATGCTTGTCAGAGGTTTAATGTTTTTAAAGTTGGTATAAGAAAGTTAGAGCAACTGACTTTTGTGGAGATGCTGCCCTAAAAATCCTAAATATGGGAATAATCAGTCCCAGAGAAAGGCAAATCACCCAAACAACCTACCTTTTACAGATTTCATCAGCTATCTCTTGGGTAAAGAGTCGTTCCTGCAGGACATTGTTGAGGGCGTGGACGGCACACAGTTCCAGGCGCTGTCTCTCATGATAAACCGCAGATGTCTCAGTTTGACCCAGATTCTCAGACATCACATCCAAACTGGCCTGAAAGGCTGCTCCCAGGAGATCAACTCTGGAGGAAAAAAACCATTAAGAAAAGCATGAATAGAGAACGCACCCAATCAGTACAATCCCAATAGATAACAAGGAAAGATTTGGCAGCAACATTAACATTACCTTCACCTCTGGCCCTTCCAGGCACCCGTAGGTCCTCCCTTTGTGTAGTTTATCTCACAGCAATTCTTGTCCTCAAAGCCTCTTTCTTTTAGACATCCTTGGTTCTCACATCCACTTTCGTTAGACTTAATGTCTTCTCAACCTCCCTGCTTTGTTTGTTTTCTCTGTCCCTTCTTTCTCTAGCTCTTATGCTGCTAAGCTTTCTCTAAGATCACAGCTCATCCAACAGATTCTCCTGGCTGCCCCACCCTTGTCAGATGCTAGGGAAGCTCAGCCAATTGTTGACCAAAGCTTTAACTTTACATTCATTATTGACAGCACAAATGCCCTGAGTGCATCACAATATTAAATGTTTCCCAGAAGCCCAAGCAAATTATGGGTATTCTTAAATACTATAGGATTGAAAAGAAAAAAAAAAAAAAGTCAAAGTTTTAAAAGACCCAGAAGCCAAATGTCTCTTTATTTTAATCACTGCAGTGGTAAACAAGTGGCTTAATGCATCCTGTGGGAGAGGGGCAGGGAGAGGAACATGATGCCCATCTCATATTTTTATTTTCCCTTAATTTATACTAATCAGAATGAACATGGCCACTTTGTTGAGATGTACACACATATCTTTCTGTTAGGAAATTGTGTGTTATAATTATTCATAGCACAACAATATGAAGGCAGGCCAGCTTTTCCTAACCAACTGCATTTCAGATGTGATAAATTTAACTTTCTGAAAATTATGGAAAGTTGAATCCAATAAATCTGTTGGACAGCAGGTTGGGGAAGGCTATGGCATGTCAAAACTATCCTTCCTTGGAAGATCATTCACTCAAAATTTTCCGAACCATCATACACAAAGGAAATAATTTTCCACAGCCATCAAGAAACCATACATAATAGTTAAAGATCAACAATATGGCATTGATCATCACGTTAAAAATTCCTGTTAATACTGTACTGCTAAGTTTCTAAGATAATGTTTTACCAGCAGTAAAACATTAATACTTCATTTTATGATACCATTGCATACGTTTTAGAATGTACATTAAGTATCACAACATGCCAAAAAGACAGGTGCAGGTACTGGACTTATTACAAGGTAACGTACAGTAATCATCAACACTTTCAAACCTGTAAGTCAAAATAGGCTAGCTAAAGACAGACTAAAAAAGAGACTCCTATTTAAACTGTAAATTTGCTTCCATAAACTGGTGCGACGGATGCAAAGGTACTTATTATAACACACCTGCATTGTGTGCATGCTCGAAGGTACCACTCTTCAAGAGTGGTTAACACTTAAAATAATTCTCGCATGCAAATCTAACTTCCATACCCTCCTGAATGTTTCGATGTTTTTCCACCACCAAGAGAAACAGAGACTCATCAACCTGAGCAATTCCCAATGATCAACTCATACCAGGATGCAGTGGAGTGGGGGAGGAGTTTGGGAAAACAACCGCCAGAGAAAATAAACTTACCCGGGAAAAAGCGAAAATCCAATAAACGAGCCCCCACACCATGACTTCCCCAGAAACGGCTGTTAAAGGCCAGGCTGACTGTGCAGAGACGGAGAAACTACTCTTCCCAGCAAGCCTTGGGCAAGACAATAGAACTACAATTCCCGGTAGGTCTCGCGCGTTTGACCGGAAGTAGGTAGGAAACCACATTTCCCAGAATGCAACAAAAGGAGAGGCAAGTGCTGCGACTTGTTTCCCTTAGAGAAGGAGTATATTGATCGCGGATTCCGGAAGAAGTTCGGCGTTCCTTATAATTTAGGTAAAGATTACAGTATAATTCCCAACCGGTGGATGAGAAATATTGTAACTGGAAAACAAGTGGATTTGCAATCTTGGTACAACACTACGTTCAAAACACCTTGGAGTGTTGCTTTGTAAAGTGTAGGATTTCAACTCTTATAAGCTAACCCAACTATACGAAGTTTAAGAAGGGCAATTTAAATTGACCTTTGGTATTTTATGTCATAGTGTAGTGTAGTGTAGTGTAGTGTAGTGTAGTGTAGTGTAGTGTAGTGTAGTATAAATTATAAGCAGTTACTGTGTCAAATGCAGAATGCATACCCTTAGTGAAGTATCACTATTGACAGCAAAACTGCTTCCAGGACTCTTCTAACAGCCAGATTTATTATTCTTTTGTTATATGTTTACTATTACGTGTGGGTAATCTATGTTAGATTCACAGCCTACGTTTCTGGTAGAAACTTAATAATTCAAATCCTAACCATAGACCTAAAAATTACTAAGGAAGCATCTAAGAATATGGACTGTTCCAAGCAGGAGTTTTTTTTTTTTTTAAATAAAAATTAGGATGTTAGATAAATTCAGTATGTCTTGATTTGAGGAAATCCTTTAGATAACTCTAATGTCAGTTGGCATAGCAACAGATTTTCCATAAGCGGTCAATCCAGTATTTTATATTTTTTTCCAATTGTTTTTCTTCAATCCTGGATCACTTAGAGTAGCAATATCAGTTGCTATCAGTTGAATCAGACTTTCTTTCTTTTTTTCAATATAAGGCATATTATGAACAAGATGTCTGACCTCATTTTCCAAAACTTTCTCACTTTGACACTCTTAATAGTTTTTATAATATTCAAAACCAGACCTCTGGCAATTCTGGCAACTTGTTCATGATTCTGTTTGTAATCAATTTGTGACATTCTCCTGCAGCCTTTGATCGAATGGTTAATTGTTTCATCCCTTTTATTACAACCAAGTCATTTTCTGTTGTTTGTTACATATAGAATTTTCACCTTCATTCAATTAGTTAGCAAAGCTTCTTTCTAAGACATTAAAATAAAGCCTTCAATTTTTTTTCCTTTAACCCTCCTGATAACCAATTCCATGTGGGTTTTTTTTATCAGCTTTTCCTTTTATATCCTTCAAATTTTGACCATGTATTGACTTATGCTTCTAATTAACAAATAGTTTTTAATTGTTTCTACATTCAGTCTTCACCTTTGTTATTTTCAAGAACTTTCCTTGATTGATTTTCTTCATGCAAGGATTCTTGATGTCGTCATTCAGGCTATGCTTTTTTTCCATTACAATTTGTTCCACCTGTAGCAGTTCTCTACCCTCTTCATCTCTTGACAAATACAGTTCATCAGTATCATTTTTGGGGTATAAAGTATGCTATAGTATCATAAGGTTTGGTTGGTTTTTTGTTTTTTTTTAGTCTTCTGAATCAAGTTACCAAGTTTCACCTCAGTCCAGTCAATTATATTGCTGTATATTGAATAACAGGAACTGGCCCAGATATTGTTTTAATAATGTTTCCATCATTTAGCTTTGATTTTAACATTTTACAAACTCATGCAATATATTTGGTTGAAGTACTTTCTTTGATTCGATTCTGTAATAAAAGAATAAATTCTTCCAAAATTATAAAATATTTATATCCTTGTGGTGCTCTCGTTTTTATCAAAACTTCATTGTTAAGCTATATTCCCTCATCTTCAACAATTTTGCCTGCCTTATAGTTATGGTTGCACACTTGTCGATACTAAATCACATTCCAGTATCTTTATTGAATCCTTTTCTGCTTTTTTAATAAGGAATCTAGTTCAGCCTTTGGTTTTCCAAATAATTTTAAATCATCCAAATAGAGTAAACGCAAACTGCTTACTCATTCTTTGGCCGAGTCATAGCCACAGTTTTGTTCCAAATTGTCAGTGGGGCCATTGATAGTATAAAGAGTAAAGGTGATAATGAATCAACTTGAAGAATTCTATGTTTCATTTTAACTTCTCCTAACTCTTCCCTATTGGCCACCAGCTTTGTTTGCCAAAACTTCATTGAGGTTTTCATAAATTGCCAATTTTTTCTGCTGATTCAAAAAAATGATCAAATGATCAAATGCCTTTTTGTACTCTATCCAGGCCAGGGGTAGGCAATTTTCCCAAGGGGCCACATGAGAAACTACCTTCAACATAAAAGCAATGCAGTTATATTGCATGCATGGCTTAGACTTACTTATGGACCAGACGGGGACAGCCAAAGCCCGGATATGGCCAGGGCCAGGGGTGAAATGCTTCCGGTTCGGACCGGCTTGAGTGAATAGGTAGCGATGATGCCGGTGGTTCGGAGAACTGGTAGCAATGGCAACCCGAGGCTCCGCCCACCCGCCCAATCGTTGTTACTTCCTGCTTTTACTTCCAGAGAACCGGTAGTAAAAAAAATGCTTAAAAAGTTAAAAAAAAAGTTCCGATGATCAGCTGAGTGATGCATGACCATGGGAACTTTTTTTTTTACTTTTTAAGCATTTTTTTCTACCGGTTCTGGAGAAACAAAGCGTGTGTGTGTGTGTGTGTGTGTGTGTGTGTGTGTGTGTGTTTACTCCTGGTCTTTCGCAGCAGCCTGTGCCTGCCGTCCCATCCCCAGCCGGCTAAACCAGAGTTGGGGAATTCACCCCTTCAATCCACCCCCACCTTCATTCCTCTTTTCTTTGGAGGCCAACCTGAAGGAGCCTGTGTGTGTGTGTGTGCTGCACTGAATGTCAGTGCGGAGGCAGGGATGGCCTGCCAATCCACCTCTGCCTTCATTCAAAGATCTTTTAAAACCTGTGTGTGTGTGTGTTTGCTCCTGGTCTTCGCAGCAGCCCATGCCCGACATTCACACACACACACAGCGGTATTGATGAGATTTTTAGTGCAGGAAGCCAGACTTGCCTTCACAAGGTATGAAAGCTTCCTTACAAACGGAAAAACGGCAGGAGCAAGCAAGCACTTCTTTTTGTGCTCCTGGCATTTTTCCACTTGGAGAGGAGGAGGAAGAAGAAGATGAGGGTGACAATCCCGGGCGTGTGAAGCAAGGAAGCTCGGGCTGAGTGAAAAGGGGGAGCAGCCGAGCAATTTGTTTCTCTCTCCCCCCCGCCACCCGGTCATCTCCCAGACTGGGTGGCCGAGGTAGAAAGGCTTGCAATCTTTAGGGCTAGGAGGCGTTGGATCTGGCTTGGTGAGAGGGGTTAGGCTGGTCAGGTGCTGATCATCAGAAATTTTTTTTTTACTTTTTAAAGCAGTTTTTACTAGTTAAAAATGCTTTAAAAAGTTTTTTTTTAATTGGCCACGCCCATCTAGTCACATGACCACCACCAGGCCACGCCCCTAAGCCACACCCACAGAAACAGTGGGGAAAAAAATTAGATTTCACCCCTGGCCAGGATACTGTTTAAATGCCCAGGTCTGATTCAGGCCATAAATAATGTTTTCCTTGAATTCCTTAAAACTAATTTATAAATCATAACTATTATTATTAATAATAGTAAGATGCCAATCAATTTTCAACAACTCCCCCCCATAAAAACCAAATTAGGGGAGGAGTGGTTTAATTTCAGAGATAGTGTAATTCCAAAGAAGGGGAACTATGAGAATTTTGTCATCATAATCCTTAAACATGATCTTAAGGGGAGGGAGGGAGACATTCTTCTAGATCTTATTGGACAGGTAGAAACCAATGAAACCCTGTTTCCCTGAAAATAAGACATCCCCTGATAATAAGCCCAATCGGGCTTTGGAGCGCATGCGCTAAAATAAGCCTCCCCCCAAAAATAAGCCCTCCACAAAAATATTTAAATGCAGAGCTGGAAATCAGGTAAGACAGCAAGAGGAGCCCCATCTCCACGCGCCCCAAAATAATAAAACCTCCCCCAAAATAAGACCAAGGGCTTATTTCTGGGTTCAAAAAAATATAAGACAGGGTCTTATTTTCGGGGAAACACGGTAGATGGTTTTTTAAATACAGTTGTTGTTAGTTGCGAAGTCATGTCTGACCCAAGGCGACCCCATGGACAATGTTCCTCCAGGCCGCCTTGTCCTCTACCATCCTCTGGAGTCAATTTAAGCTCACGCCTACTGCTTCAATGACTCCATCCAGCTACCTCATTCTCTGTCGTCCCCTTCTTCTTTTGCCCTCAATCTTTCCCAGCATTAGGCTCTTCTCCAGTGAGTTCTTCCAGTACACAAGTCCTAAACCATGTAGGCTTTAAAGGTGGTAACCAGCATGTTGAATTGTACCTTGAAGGTAACTTTTAACCAATGTAGGTCCTGGAGGTATTTATATGGGAACATCTATTGAGCTTCATCAATCAGCTGCAACATTTCGGATCATTTGAAACATCTGATTTATCTTCAAAGCCAACTGATGTAGAGTTCATTACAATAGTCCAAAAGTGTGGGAGATGTTCTAGATGTATAGCAAACTACCATTGTAACTTTTTTCATGGTATGTTACATTGTTGGATTTCTGTCTATAAATGACAGGCTCTGGTAAGAAAAAAAAGGCAATAGCTCTTAATCTAGGAATAACCAGCGTGCTATGAGTACAGATATATTCAAGGACACATTTCTTGAGGTCTGCATAGCTTCTAGCTCAACCTGATCTTATCATTTAATCTTTTAATTTAAAAAAAGAAAAATAAATAAATAGAAAAGGAAAATGCTGCTAAATGCCAGGTTTAACAATCACCTTTATTTACAAGAATGCCCCTGGCATCGGCAAACATTCTCATAAAATAAAAAATGTAGGTATAATTTCAGTCCAGCACTTTGCTTGGAAATGTGTCTACTTACTGTGGAGGCAGAGAACATCCAGCGAAATAAGATAAAGTTTCTGGGAGTACAACTAATAGTTTTTATGCCATTGTGGCAGCCATTTTATGAATAAAGGAGCTTCCATCAGCCATTTTGTCTATATTTATGACATGCTGACAAAATTCTAACTCCATCTATCTAGCCAAAAGAGTTACTACCTTTGTCTTAA